TACCTGTTCCTCATGCAGACACTGTCGAAGTAGTGTGACATCCACCATCAATGTTAGATGCAGCTGGCAGCTCATCGCCTAACAGCGCTCGAGTTCATAGGCCTGGCGCAGGGAAAACAGAGAGAATTCGAGGAACACCTTCGTGTAGCGGTGGCGTGTGCGGCGTTTGGGGCTCAAAACGAACACCAACAGCAGCTGCAGATTGCTTGTCTTGCTAAATCAAGGTTTGGGTCTCTCATAAGGCTACGCAGGGCGTGTGAAGTCTGTCACAAATAGGCTCTATTCCCGCGCTTGACGCAGCGACAGCCGCGTGACGATCTTAGCTGTATGTAGCACCCTTTAGCCAACTTGGTACACGCTGATAGATACTTGGGATAAGGAAAACCGTGTGCAGCATCGTGATTTCAGGTCGCTTTCGAAGAAATTTTTGAAAGGACTAGCTTGAAGCGGTGATTTTACGTTGGAAGAGTCCAATTGCAGTGCTGTGAGGGGACTCGGTATATTGCGTCCTAAGATCGCATTTGTAAATTGCAATTTTATGAGAGTTTCCTCCTTGATCAGCTGGCATTGTTTTAGCGAAAGACACCATGAAATTCCGTGCAGGTGATTGTCGGATCTGGAACGTGTCTTATGGTCTTGCTAATAAACAAAACAGCTTCAGAGCGTGCAAATCATAGGTGTCCGAAAGCAAGGGCTTTTGGGAAGAAGATGCTTGCCCCTTGTCTCAAATGATGTTCGATTAATCTACTACAACGGGTTTGAAGATGGCTGAGGCGCAATAAGCCGCCTTGGACCATCACTCTTGACATTGACAAACACAGGGAAAGTGAATTGCTGCTAAATTCATCCCATCTGATTCGAAACTGGGATGAAGGCTAAGGCGGCTTTTGCAGGTCTGGTTGATGGCGTTGCCGGACCCATCAATTGCCTCCACTCTCGTCTCCATCGAGCCGGCGACCAAAACACACGAGATTGAAGTGATGTTACGTCTGCCCACATTTCACCTAGTCAACCGAGTGATGTATAGGATTTCGTATTACTTAGCTGGTGATGATTCGTCTAGATTAGTCTAGGCTTTGAGTAAAAATGGTATTCTCTTTACTTCACTTCCTGGCAGACTTGAACGCCATGGCCATTGTTCTCCCTGGCGGGGCAGATGGACAATCCATCATTATGATCTTGAATCATGCGTCTCGGAGGGTCTGAGCCAAATGACTGAGCACCCTCCCCGTGCGTTGCGGCGCAGTGCGCAGGCTGAGACCCGGGCGCAGAGCATAGGCCACCTTCCATAAGAACTCTGTTAATCGTATTGCTTTTGACAGGACGACGGGAGGAGCAGAGCAGAGGCCGCAGAATGATACCGGGCTGCGCAAGGTTGCCCTTCCGTCGCAGACCAGGGCAGGGAGTTGGTTAGAGCATGATCAGGGTCGGGGACCAACAAAAGCAAGATGAGGACCCTTGCAGCTGTGTCTCTGGTCGCCTCGGAAGCCCCCAAACACGAGGGGGCGCCAGCACTTTGCGGCTGGCAGGGGACCTTCACTAAACAGTAGCGAACCCAGTTCATTTCAGAAGATTGAAGCAGATTGCATTCGAGCAAGATTAGAGCAGCGTGCCAGTTCTAGGACTCAATTGAGCACACAGCATTCTGTAGAAGTGCGAAGCATAAGTAGGCTTTTCCAAGCCACTGGTCGTTGTCTACCTTTCTTCGATACTCCCCTGCATAAGTCGGGTGTGGGCTCCCTTATTTGCAGCCCTCTAAGCACCTGAAAATTGTCACAACTGAGAGCGAAGTCAGCCTGAGACTCTTATTCTCCGGGTGTCATTTCTCGTGACTAGTGACTCAAATAGTCACAAGGGCGTGCCTGTAGCGGTGACCGTTGTCTGTCGCATAATAAGGTAACCACGGAACGCTAAAAAGAGTAACATTTATCATTCTTATTAATGGTGGGTGGATTGGGCCAGGCAAACCTACCTCACTCAGTTGAAGCGGCCATTCCCAGGTTGCATTGGGCAGACGTTACCCGGTGCGGACCAGCGATCCAACGATAATCCACCAGTGCCACCCACCCTTGGTGATAGTGATGATATCGAGTTTTCCACAATCAGATCATAACAAGGTCAAGTAAGGTGTGGCCGTGGGTAGTTAGAGTGTCCCGACCTCGACCCAATGGGCACGGAGCGGCGATGAAGACAACATTCAGTGAAATGAAGATCCAAGGTGCTAATTATCGATGGCAATATCAATAACTGCAGGCAGATCACATACAGTGCGGCAGGTACGCTAGATTCAGGAGGAGGGGGGTCACCTCGACGGCAGCGATGATCAATGAGGTGTGTCTCACTTCTCTACCGAGCGCAAGGAGGTGAAGTATCGTATATACTTCCTATATCCCCCGCTCGGTAGTTGCAGTATTGTGGAAGAAGGTTAATTGAAGCAAAAAGGTAGCAAAGTGCTTGCCAACTATTGTCTCCGTCTGGAAGGGCATCTTCCCTCGCACTGACTGGGCTATTCCGCCGCATCCCCGCTCTGTATCCCCCACATTATGCACAGAGGAGGACAAGAAATAACACAGCACATCACGCGTCTGTACTCGCAGTCCTGACGCATTACAAGTCGATATTTTCAATCTACCGTACCCATTGTATACTCACCAGTCTGCACCATCGAGCCGTCAAGTCTATCGAAAGCCACGCTCGGCAGCTCTCCAAGATAGCCTTCAAGCATCCAGCCCGAGGCGACCGGCTGGTATTGAATAACTGGACACTGCCCGACACTCACCTAATATACATACAGTAACCACATCTCGAGCTAAGTCTAAATAGCTATTACGCGGACACGGGTCTTTCATTAGCAGCCTAGGCACGATGTGCTGAAGGCGCTACTTACTATTACTCCACGCCGTCTAGTGAGGAAGAGGCGTAGTCGGGCAGACACGCAACAACAACAGATGACCCACTTCCGCAGCTTTGGCAAGATCTACAGCACAGTCGGCCTTCATCATCGAGGACATCATCACAGGCCCGCTAACTAATAAGATAGAGCTGCTTTAGCTCCATCACCACCCTTGCTGTAGCTCCCAATTCATCCGGGCTTGCTCTTCGTTGTCTCCTCTGGCGCCCGGCCGTTGTTGACATTGTTTGTTCTCGTCTGCCCACCCTATCACGCACCCCCTTGTCTTGTCTTTCGTGGGCCTCGGGGCACCAGGAGGTACCTTCATAGTAGAGTAGGTTGCAAGTGTTACCCTACGTTATCTGAAGTACCTACTTTTCTTGCCGAGCACGCAACTGATTGCTCTAATTCAAGGCTCCTCCTCCTTCCCACGACCTCGGGACGGAACTAGCCCTTTTTACCACCAAATCCACCAGCCTGTCTACTGATGCTAGGAGTCTAGGAAGCAGGATTTGCTTTCTTTTACCGGCCCTCTCCACATTGTCGCGCTGCTCCCTCTAGAGTTTCGCTTTGGAGAAAGAAAAAAAAAGCAATCAATCGAGCAATCAGCCCCGCCGCCGTTTTACGCATGCCAGCCCACGCACCCGAGGGAAGGGACGGGACGGGAAGAGCACGAGCATGAGAAAAGGAGGGAGGCTTTCGGGATGTACCTCCCCTCTTCCACAAGGAAGCTCCACGTCTTGCGTATATATCTCCTTTACCGTTTGCTGCTTCCATTCATGGATTATGTCTAGTATCGTGCTTCCTTATTAGCGTAGAGAGGGTGAAAAGGATAGCCGTAGAGTAGAAGGTAGGAAGGAAGGTGAGAGAGGGTTAACCTGGGGACTGCGCGTAGTACTTCGAGTCTTTGGCCTCTTTTCACTTATTTCTCCTTGAGTCGGTCTCGATAGGTGATGGCTTTTCCAGTACCCACTCGAGCCACTCAAGTCTGTCTCCCCGACTCTCTCGTCTGCTTGCATACTACTTGCTTGCGCTTGCTATCGGTGTGTGTTCCTCTGTCTCTGTCTCTCTGGACAACAAGCCCAAGTCGTCCTGTCCTCCACCTACTAGCTAATGCTAAGAGATGTGCTCAGATGGGTGGGATGGAGCATTGATGGTGCTTGGGTTGTCCCGAAACTTTGATCATCAAGGGCCTTCCCTGGGCTTTCCCTGGTGTGCAGACGTCCATGTCTACCAGGGTGCGAGGATTGTCAAAATGCAAGCCAGTGCGCACGTCCACAATACAGTGGGTAGCCCTCCCTGCCTCCTACGACAGTACCTCGAGTACCTAGGTACTCACGGATGGGTGTGGTGTGGATTGGATTAGAGCCCAATGGGTTACTTCACTCTCCTACCCACACCCACACCCACACCCACACAGTCAACTCACTCGCCCATTCCTTCTCTTCAAGTCCCCCCCTCCCCCGATTGCATACCACACCTACGTCCTCCCTACATTCCAGGCCTCGATCACGTCTCTGTTCTGGACTTTAAGCAAATAAACACCAGAGTGCACCACCGCGTCGCCGCGCTCACCAAACTAGCCACCCGGCTGCTTCCTGGAACACGCAACAACCCGACGTTCATCTGGTTCACAAGTCTGCAGGGACAGCGGCCTCTTGCCAGCATCCGAATCAGCAACTCGCCTGGAGCACTCGATTGACTCGACTCGGCATCGTCCACCATACCGACGCTTTTGCCCTTCCGACTCCCACGACTCCCGACAACGCAATTGCTTCTCGACGAGGCAGCAGCAGAGCTAGCAAGACGTTTAGAGCGGGATTACACATTGCCGATGAAGTTTGCTGTCCAGATAATCTGATAAAAATCTTGTGGTTGTCCGACTTATCAACCTGAAGAGTTTTGGATTTGTCGAAAGCGCCTCCGCATTCCCCTCTCCCATGGTTGGCCAAAGGCGTGTCTCGCGGCAATGGTAATGCTGAGCGAACATCCAATGCGTTCGAGCCTTCAGGTCGCTCCTCTTGCAATACAGAAGTCGCGGACCGGATCTGACAATGGCTCCATCAAAAGCGACCACACCATAACTGCGCATCCTTACACCTCGACACAGATGACGCCCCCGACAACACCCAATGGCTCGCAGGAAGACTTCCACGCGCAATCCAGCGCGCCCACCGTTTTCCACAACTTCCTGCGAGCCTTCTATCCCTTTCATCCTAGCTATGCCATGACCGACTCAACCGTCACACTGCCATTGAACGAGGGTGATGTCATCCTAGTACACTCGATACACACGAATGGATGGGCGGACGGGACCCTGTTGGTGTCAGGTGCGAGAGGCTGGTTGCCTACTAACTACTGCGAGGCGTACGACCCGGAAGAGATGGGAAATTTGCTCAAGGCTCTTCTCAACTTCTGGGACCTACTACGCAGTACCGCTGTCAACGATAGTGAGATATTCGGCAACCAGGAATTCATGAAAGGCATCATCGCCGGTGTGCGATATCTTCTGGTATGTTGACATGGCCTAGAGGACCCCTCTGCTGACAGGACAGTTCATGTTAACATTGACTAAAGGAACGAACGAACTGCCTAACTCGAGAGTCGGCCATCATTCAAAGACACGATGGCCTGCGCAGGGGTAGAAAGTCGCTCCTGTCTGAGCTATCGTCGCTAGTGAAAACGGCAAAACGGTTACAGGAACACCAGAAGATGCCGAATCCATACGATGACGTTAACGATATCATTGACGAGATGATACTGAAGGCTTTCAAAATTGTCACCAAGGGCGTAAGGTTCTTGGATGTGCTTGAGGAAGACAGACGGCTACGGGCACCGGCAGTGGCAGTCATGGCTACAGTATTGGAGGAAACTGCTATTCCTCCGACGCCGCCCGCCGACACCGTTGCCTTCGAGGACAATCAAAGTCAGACGAGAGATGCGGGTACCCGTTCGGATGGAAGCGGGCTGGCTGCATCTCTAGGCCCGTCAGCCTTAGGCGAAGCGACACAAACAACAGCTCCCACCAACAAGCGTTTGTCCGCTGTCTATGCGTCCGGGTCAAGTCCCCGCCGCGTGTCTCAGGGGACTCTCCTACCTGTTAATCGTATGTCGACAACTATCTCACACAGGGTGTCTTTAGCTGGCCCGTCTCCACTCTCAAGACCGCAGAATCTTGTCTCGGAACGTTTGACCTCCAGCCATGACACCTTTTTGTCTTACCTAGGCTCTTTCATCGGACGATTGCACCTACAGTCCCAGTCCCGTCCGCATTTGGCGTTGGCAATTAAGCAGTCGGCCACCTCAGGCGGCGAGCTGCTGGTAGTTGTCGACGTGGTTTGCGCTCATAGCCCTCTTACGAAGGAGCTGCTGGAGCAGCCCCGTGCTGCGATGTACGACCGCATTGTGGATCTTGTTCACGCCGCTCGAGATATTCTGCTTAACACTGGACCCGACGTTGCCGATGTCATCATGCCACAAGACAATAGCAGACTATTATATGCAGCCACGGGTTGCGTCAAGGCGACAGGCGAGTGTGTCGCAAAGACAAAGTGGGTAATTGAGAGAATAGGTGACTTTGAGTTTGAATTCGACAATGGCAGCCTGGGCATCGATATCGACCTTAGTGTTCTGGACATTGTCGAGGAAGAGAGGGAACGGCCGATGACAGCAGTCGACTCGGCCAGTATTGCAGAGTCAAGCGCATCATCTTCTGCTGTATCGGAACCCTCAGCGACATCGACACAAGTATCTGCTCAGGCGCCAAACGCGACCCCACGTCCGACGGTGCTCTCGATCGACAAGCCACTCCCTGAAGTTCCGCAGATGTCGCAATCCGAGGAGGTTACCCCAGTACCAAAACATCGATTGTCAACATCCTCGAGACCACAGTCACTGGTTCCTTCAGACAGCACTCCAAGTCTGGTATCCCCTGGGAGCTCAGCACGGCCGTCTCTACCTCCCCTCCCGAAGTTGACGACTACATTGCTCCCGCAGGAGGACTATAGCCCGTCTGATCACTCAGGTAGCCATGACAGCGGGTTCCGAAATTCTTTCCGGCCCGAAAGCATGGCTGGCTCGATCTCTGGCACTGGAAGCTCCTACTTGAGCCGAGACTCCGAGTCAAGCCTCGTATCCCAAATCTCGACTCGTGCTTCAACACCTGACCACGCTCTCGCCCCCAAGAACCAACCCTCTCTATCTGAGCTAAGCACAGCGGGAAGCGCAACTCTCGCGGAAGAAGTTGAAGAGGTGGAATCAAAATTGCTTGAGAAGACTTATGCACATGAGCTTATGTTCAATAAAGAAGGCCAGGTTACAGGGGGCTCACTCCCGGCTCTCGTTGAACGGCTTACTACCCACGAGTCAACACCGGATGCGATGTTTGTTTCTACCTTCTACCTTACGTTCCGCTTATTTTGCACACCTATCAAGTTAGCGGAGGCTCTAATTGATCGCTTCGACTACGTCGGTGATTCACCACACATGGCTAGCCCTGTACGTCTTCGTGTGTACAATGTGTTCAAGGGATGGCTCGAGACACATTGGCGGGATGAGACGGATCGCGATGCACTCGTGCTAATCGAACCTTTCGCTGAGTTCAACCTCACTGCCGTTCTGCCTTCGGCTGGCAAACGCCTGTTGGAGCTCGCGCAGCGTGTGTCGTCTTCTGACGGTACACTTGTACCGCGTATGGTGTCTTCAATGGGCAAGACAAACACATCAATCTCCCAATACATCCCTATCGACACACCTTTACCTGCTCCAAATCTGTCCAAGAGTCAGGCCCATGCTCTGACCAACTGGAAATCTGGAGGTAGCTGCCCGACTGTATTGGATTTTGACCCCCTTGAGATTGCCCGGCAGTTGACTATAAAGCAAATGCACATTTTCTGTGCCATCATGCCCGAGGAGCTTCTAGGCTCTCAGTGGATGAAGAAGGGTGGCGTTGGCTCTCCCAATGTCAAGGCAATGACAGCGCTTTCTACAGACCTTTCAAATCTCGTTGCAGATACAATCTTGTATTATAACGAGGTGAAGAAACGCGCTGCTGTCATCAAACAATGGATCAAGGTTGCCCATCAATGTCTCGAACTGCACAACTACGACGCCCTCATGGCCATCATTTGCAGTCTCAACAGCTCGACTATCACTCGTCTTCGCAAGACTTGGGATGTCATCTCTCCTAAACGACGAGAGTTGTTGAAAACTCTCCAGGCTATTGTCGAGCCATCCCAGAACAACAAGGTCTTGCGAGCCCGCCTGCACGATCATGTGCCTCCCTGCTTGCCATTCCAGGGCATGTTCCTGACTGACCTGACATTTGTCGATATCGGCAACCCCGCAACGAAGCAATTACCCGGCGCTGATGGGACCTCCGATCTCACTGTAGTCAACTTCGACAAACATACACGGACTGCGAAGATCATTGGCGAGCTGCAGCGCTTCCAAATTCCATATAGACTCACTGAGCTTCCCGATTTGCAGGAATGGATCCAAGGACAAATCACTCGTGTACGCGAGCTTGACAACGGAAACAACGTCCAAGTCTCCTACTATCGTAAGAGCTTGCTTCTAGAGCCACGGGAGACACAGGCACTCAGAACTCCGATCGAAGGCCCAGCTGGTCCAAACGGTCAGAAAGCTGACCTATTCGGGTGGATGAGAGGCGGCGGAGATAAAAGTGCCGCTGTCATCTGATACCCCATTTTCCCTTTTTGTCACCATCACCACGAACTTCCTATCATACCATTTTCTACTACACCGAACGGCAAGACTTACCTCATCTCCGACCTTACTGGCGTCACAATACCTGGTCTCGACACTTTTTTGATACCCCCACATTTATGAATTTCTTCTCTTGCCAACCGAAACAGACGGAAGGGCAAAATTTTGTGCCGCCACGAAATCAACATGTCTTGGAGCCTCCTTACCAGCCAAATGGCTAAACTGCCTTTTTCCTCAATCCGCCTTATGCGACTGTCTATTATCGGCGTTCAGCCTCATTATTGCGCTTGTTCTGGGATGATGCATAGAAACGAAAAGGATCATCCTCAGCTCCTTGCAATCCATTCAATACATAACTCCTGCGAAGGACCTACTGTACTTTGTTTCACCGAATGCCAAAATTCGGAGGAGACGTTTTAGGAGATAGGCACTGAAAAAGAAAGAGGAAAACAATTAAGGCTTTGTTATATTATCGCTGTGGGCTCGCGCCCACTCCGCCCTTGCTCGGAATAATCGATACCCAAGTTCGAACCCGCTTTTGGAAAAGCTTTCATTTCATTTCTCCAAGGATTTCACTTTCTGCTTTTTGTTGGACAAGTTTCTAACCTGGAAAGATGGAATTGAATCATGGCTGGTACAGCCTCCCAGGATGAGGCGTTTCTTTGGAGTTGGACATTGCCTCTTGCAAGGTAATTTCTAGTATATTGGAGATATACCCCCTACCGGTTCGACGAACGGGCGGGAATAGGGAGCTATTGTGGCATGATGGGAGCATATAGCGCTGCATACAGGCATCGACGGTTGAATCTTGGTTTGGGAATGCCTTCAGACTGATGCTCGTGTATGCTGCGCGGTCAGTTTAGCTACTGGAAATAATGAATTTACGAACATGTCTTCAATCCACCGTCTAGTCTTCACGCTGTTTGTAGGGGACGTGACGTTTCTTGCTTTATTATCTTCATGTCTTCAACCCAGGAAGGCCCCATGAAAATAGTAATCAATACACACTTTCTTGTATCTTGTGCATGTACTTCACTACTTGAATGTTTCCCTCCATAAATCGATCAACCTGGCCTGTGTCAGCTATTGTCCCCATCTACTGACCTCGTGAGATCTAGATTAGCTTACCTCGGCCATTACATTGTAGCCAGCCACCCATATCATGAACGCTGGCGATGGTGGATTGGCATTCTTATCTGGTTGGATGCTTTTCCAGTCCACCGTGATCCGTCTCTTACTCATCTCCCTGATTCCTTCGTCGCGTGCTTTCTGCTCCGGGCCATCATCCAGGCTGTGCTTCGCGGCGTTCTCTAGAGACTGCTTGACGAATCTATCGACCCGTGGTCTCCTCAGCGTCTCGAATGACTCGCTGATGAAAGGGATGTCATCCGGCCGCCTGGCCCATCTCAAAAGCCTCGCGATTGCGATGCCGTCTTCTATGCCCTGGCTCACTCCCTGTGCAGCATGGGGCACCATAGCATGCGCGGCGTCTCCAATAAGAAGCACTCTTCCACTGGGACTTCTCCACGTCTCTAGCTCGGCTGCGTTTGCGATCTGCCACTTGGAACACTCGGTCACATGCTCCAGAAAGGCTCGAAACGGCCTGTTGAATTTGGAAAAGCGTTCTCTTAGCAGACCAACATCACCTGGCGTGTTCCATGCTCCGTTCACGGGCCCCGGCGGTCCATGATCGATGTCGATACAGAGCATCCCGAAAGAGTTGTGCGTAGTCTGTCGGCCAATGGCGAATTTCCCAGGGCCCAGGGTGGCGTGAAGAGCGCCGGGTTTCAAGAAATCAGCCACGAGCGGGTCTGTGACGAGAGATGGGATGGACACGTCTGCGTGAAAGATACACTCCCGCGTGGGAATCGGTTCCACGTCCTTGTCAGGAAATATCAAGCGACGAATGGTTGACTTTATCCCTGTGAATCTTCGTCAACACCATGATGCTTGGAAATGAGGACGTCTCTGACCATCAACACCAAGTATCATATCCGCCTGGAACTCTTCGCCATCTTCTGTCCAGACAGCAGGTTTCTGGTCATCTACACGAACCACTTTCCTCCCAAACAAGACAAAGACGCCCGCGTCCACCGCCAGATTGTACCCTACTCGCTGAAGCGCGGGACGGTCCGTCTGCACACGATCAATCTCCGAGATGGGCGGCGTGGCCATGCTCGCAAAGGGCCTGTCGTCCCCGTGCGACCACCAGTAGAACTTGTCCCCCGGCACGGCGATCTGCCCCAGGGCCTCGGCCGCGCCGCCAATGTGGCATAGCGCGCGGACGGCGGCAGGTTGGATGATGAGCATGCCGCCCTGCGTGCGGAGGTCGGGCTGCCGCTCGAGGACCGTCACTTGATGGCCTTCATGCGCGAGGGCGGCTGCGGCGATCAGGCCTGCTGGACCGCCGCCGACAACGAGGACATTAAACTTGTGGGTGCTTAGGGGAGGCATTGTCGCCGTGGTTGAGTACGCTCGACTTGAGGGAATGGCTTCTTTCCGTCGTATCACGTTGATTCTACAATATCCACACGGGCGACATGAATGCATATCACGACAACTCGGACTGAGACTCTTAACTTCGCACTTTCAACCCAATCCTTCTCGTTGACGGTTATCGTGTCGAGCTGACTACCGGGAAGATCGGGCCACGATGCTAGGGAACGAAGGATTCAAACCCAGCTCAACGTCAGCAAGTACAGAGTTACTACTGCCGCGCGGGAAGGAAATGTAAGACGAGTGCTTGCGTCATATTCACAATACTGGTGATGAAGGATCAAATGAGTCTGAACCCCAGAAACATAAGAACCAGGTCGTCGTGGGCGTGTAAGCATGACTCCGGCGTAGGTACTCAGGAGCCCAGGGGCTCGATCTCAATGGTTTAGCGGTGTGTACCGTGTATTCTAGGGGGATACTTTTAGGTCGCAGGAATTTAAGGGCAAACCAAAGGTACTGTCACGTGGCTGCCCCGCTAAGATTTCTTGTGGCTGTTAACGCCAACACCCTCGATATCAGCTTCTCTCTCAAGACGACTCGATCGACGACTACTTGTGTGAACACCGACGGCGAGAGAAATTGCCCACGGCCGTCCTTACGGTTTTGATCTCTAGAAACAGAAGAAGCCTTCTAGACACTAGCATCGGCAGCGACGGCTATTGGAAAAGTGTCGGGCTCACTCTCTCTTCATATCCCTTGCCATTCTCTTGAAAGCTAGCCCTCCGCAGGGGAGAGGCGCTAGAGGGGCAACTGCAACATGCATGAGTTCTTCCTGACCGCCGTCATCAAAGATGGCGATTTTGAGATGGCGAGAGCAGTCATGCAGGGGTTTTGCGCGATGAACGCCTGGCAGAGTGTTCACCGAGTGCTCTTCTTCACGGGCCCTCCGCAGCCGCGCGGCCTACCTGTTGAAGCTGCTATCCAGAAAACGCCTCAGACAGAGCCTCTATGGAGGCAACTCAAACAAGTCCTTTCACGTCAGTCGTTTGTGCTACAGGCGCGCTACGAGGTCTTCAAGGACAAGCACTTTGGTCCTGATGCGCCGGCTGGGTATATATGACCGCTTAAGAAAGAGGAAGCCACAGCAATGCTAATGTTCTGTTTAGCGCTCTTGACTTGAACATTGTGCCAGGTATTCTTCGCTGGACGGATATCCCTGACCCCATTGGCGATCGACCAGTAACTCAGCGTAAGAAGATTGAGATCTCTGATCAGCGCAATCTAGTGAGAATATTGTCAGAGAACCAACACAGGTAAAACAAATATTCGAGATTTTATAACGCTGACATGACTGTGTTACTGACATTCTATTTCTTAGACTGAAAAATGAAGCTATCGAAGAATCCCAGAGCTACTTTCGCGATAACATCGAGTTCAACTTTGTCCGCTATTACTATCTCCCGCCACCTGCAACGGCGGAGCAGCCATCACAGCCACGGCCCTTACTCCCGCCATGGGAGGAACTGAACCTCACAGATCCAGCAGGCAAGTGGCTGCTCTTTGTCAAGGTGCATGTGACGGATGACAACTCCCCAGAGAAGATGCAAAAGGCGCAGGAGCAGCTGATGGTCATTCGGGAGGAGCTACTGGGTGTCTTCGACTTCAAGGTCATTGATCGGCGAGCGCATGACACCCGTGTGGCTCAGCAGGGAAACAACATGCCGATTCCCCTCCCGGATAAGGTCTCTGTAGGAGGTCGGCACTAGAATGACGAGATCTCCGATGGTGATGATGATGACGATGATAGGATAGTGAAGAGGATGAAACATACAATGGAAGCCTCTTCATTACCGACAATTGACAGAAACGACCACTTATGAGCGGCCCTCGGAATGAGCAACGCCATTCATAGATCGTAGCGAGAGGCTAGCATTGATCTTGTCCTTTGCAAAGCAACTACCTGGATTACTAGACGCAAGTTTCTGATAACCAGTTGATGCAGGACATGATTTATAGATATTCGGCAGGCAAGGCATGCCAGAGGATGGAAAAATCAGGACCAGAACAGGCAGGACAGAGAAAGAACATGGTGCAAGATATTGTACCCTTCATAGGGTTGAAAAATATGTAATCTGTATAGCAATGGAATTACACCTTTTCCCCAAAATGACTTGGTTCACAAGTCATTACCTCTGAAGCCATTGGCAACACACCTCGTGAGCTTGGCAAGCCAACTTATTCTGCATACCCGGCATTTGCGGCTTGCCTCTTCTTGACTTGCTGAGTCTTCATCTCCTGAAAGCTATTAGTTTATTTTCATTTTGGTGAACATTCAACTGCGGTACATACCTCCTCGACCGTTCCTTTCATGATGTACCGTCTGACAATGACCTTCTCTGATTGCCGGAGACGTATAGCCCGAGCGATCGCTTGGTTCTCTACACTGGGATTCCACTGCAACTCAACAATGAAAATACGATTTGCAGCTGTGAGATTAAGTCTAGAAGAACCAGAGATTAGTAACCATCTACGACCTCCCGGTTGGACTCATTACCCAAATGCCCCTGTGCCTGTTGTCATCAGCATAACCCTAGCAGAGCCGTCCTTTGCGAATTGATCAAGAGTTCTTTGACGTTGCGTCAAAGGGCTATCACCGTCAATACGAAGCGGTCTGATGTTGTTGCTTTTGAGTAATCGTTCTATCAAGTCAAGGGTTTTAGTCCAGCAACTGAAGATGATGCTGGATTCCGATGAAGAGGTTAACGCCGTCCTTGTTCCCAGGAAATAGTATTTTCGCATCAAGGGGTCTTACCTTTTTGTCGTCTGTACATCCTCTTTCACATCTTCGACGAGTGCTTCTATCTTGGTTGATCTACCCGTCTTATTGAAGTAAATTTTCTGTTTTCTTTCACTCTCCCTAGTGGTAACGGGTCCCTGATCTATCATTGTGATATCCTCTGTATCATCAATGTTCATCGAGCTGGAGAGACTAGGATCTACAGTTTTGAGAGTCTTTCCTACTAACTGACATAGCGGACAATGTACGATGCCCTGCTGCCCGTCAATTTCCAGACACTCGGCGCAGATCATATGATGGCAATTTTCCACGAATTGGTTGTATCTTATCGTGGAGCCCAGTATGGGCCGAGGTTGCTGGCATGTGACACATTTGCCTTCGACGTTGAAACCAAGTTCACCAACAAGAGCTTCGTTTTCTTCTTCTTCGCAAAGGCGACGCTGCTTCCAAGAAAACTGTTTTTGATATGTGCCGTGGTTACACAGAATTCGCAACTGCATTGTTGCCTGAAAGAGACCAAATTTCCCTGGTATCTCATGGGCACCGACGAGATTGCGAATGTTTCGGTCGAGGATGCTTACGGTGTGGTCGTATTGCTTTCGCTCCTCTTCGCTCAAGTCAAGAACTCGAACGATCTCTTCCTGACCCGGCAGGGATAAGACGTCCTTTGTTCTTCGAAGAACCATCGAGTCGTACAGTAATCTCAAGCGCTCTACCACTCTCTTATCCCTTACTTCAAAAGGAATGCATATGTCCTTACGAAATTGTGCCAGGTTGTGGAAAGGGTCAGCCCGCAAGAAGGCAAAAAGAGCCCCTATATCTTCAAGACGATTTTGAATCGGCGTTCCCGTAAGACACCAGCGTGATCTTGCATCGAGTTCATTGCAGGTTCGGTAGAATGTCGTGGCGGGTCGACGAATAGTATGGGCTATAATAGTGAGACGACGATGCATTCATGTTGGTTTGAAGGGCGGAAGATGTAACCAACCTTCATCTAACACGACACGGTACCACCCAATCTTATGAATAGGGCTATCTTTAGAGCCAAATTCGATTGCAAGTGTGTGGTAAGTTGTGATAATTATGTCACAACTTGCCAGTGACGTCAAGTCTTGCTTCCTTCCTGCCCCGTGATATTTGATAACTTTCAACGTCTTGTCGAGATGTCTACCTACAAATTAGCAAATTGTATAGTAGCATTGGGATCTCGAGGGCTTACATATCAATCTCATTCAACCAACTATTGATGAGTACTGCATTTTGTCAGTCTCTGTACTCCAAAGACACAAGTATCCACGGGCTGGAGTGACTTACACGCGGAAGGAACAACGACCAATGTCCCATAAGAATATGTTTCTATGCGACTATGTGGGCTCTTCTCGGAATTCTTTGTTTGGGCCCACTTGTCAGCAGCGTCAAGAGTGGCCATGATTATTGCTAATATCGCCAATGATTTTCCCATCCCCATTTCATCGGCAAGAATGCCGCCACCCATCTCCCCTGGACGTTCCTTGTATTTGTGCCCACTAATCTTATGCACGAACCTGAATATATGTTAGATAGACTCTACAATGACTGTGTTTTCCTACATACCACTCTTCACTGCCGATGTTGGTCGGCTCCCAAAGCCTGAACTCTTCCGGAATTTCGCCGGATTCTCGCTGGTGCATGAAAGTAAGACCCTGTTGTTGATGCCTGGTTTGATTTAGGTTAGCCGATAAGAAGTCGAAGTGTTGTAGCTTACTCCAATAAAGCCGTCTTCAATCTTTGATCTCCCACAGCCCGCTGCAGACCCTCGGCACGATGGAGAGACCGATGGACCTCAGCTACGACATCTTGAACCATCTCTGTCTGTGTTCGCTCTTCAACCTCTGTAATATTTTGTTGTGCTTCCTCTGTTTGATCTATTGGCTCGATATCTGCGAATTTAATGACGTGCGGATTCTCATACGGAACCTGGCGTCGATGATTATCAGGCCGCTGTAAGAAGGCCTTCCCTTTCGAGAGCGTTTCCCCGACGGTCAATGCTTTGTTTCTCGGGCCATATATGTTGATGTCTACCTGAATGATTGCGTCCCCCGCCTTCTTCATTTGGTCTATTTGTTTTCGAATACGAGGCGCCATAACTATGACTTCAAACTCGACCTTTTCGATATCTCGCAGAGGGTTGAAAGCTGTAGTCATATTCTCACGAAGATAACCAAACTGGGTCTCGTCCAGGAATTCGACATAAACGCGATCTATTGTGAATCGGAGTCGAAGGGCCTGTATATCCGTTCTGCCCTCCGCTAACTTTGAACTCAGCTTGGCCATCTCTCCGACCAGTTTGACATCCACGCGATATATCTATGTCGGAACGGCATCATGTCAACAGATGCACTCTTGAATGGTGTTATTGGCCAACATAGAGATCAAAACGAGACTAACCATTCCATAACAAATGTCATGATTAGCATCAGCAATATCACTGGATGAAGAATCGTCGGTATCGTCTTGCGTCGGCAAAGAATCTGCATCGGGTAACTCGTCATTATCGCTAGTTTGATCAAACCCGCTCGTAGCAGATTGTGTGAAGTTCATGTCATGAACTCCATCGAAATGTTGCACATAGCCGTGTTGCGAAGGATCGAGCCATCCAACACCACCTGCTGTCCAAGGGTTTATCGAATCATGCAGTATCGGTGCAGGGAGATCCTCATGATTGTTGGACCCTAAAGTCAAACTTTCCAATGGCAAGCTTTGTTTACAGGGTTAGGTGATCTGCGTCCTGGACTCGAAGGTTGACTGACCTTGGTATTGAGTCAAGGACATCCTCCCTGTCCTCGTAGGAGTTGAGCATTGAGTATAACGACATTTCGTGACAGCGACGTTGAGTGTCAAGGTTGGGCTGTGGCTCGCTGGCGAGGCTCTGGCTCTCGCAAGTCAACCGCTAGTGGTAGCTTCTATGCCAACAACTCAGCCAATCAATCCATGTTAGTCGGCCAGCTTGTAGGCTTAGGGATGCGTAATTGTGTTGGGGGGTGGCTGGGGCTGTGCTGACGGTCGCCTGTTTCGCGCCTGCAAGTGGTGTGACAGATAAGCCAATAAGCCCAAATCCAAAGGTACTCGGAGACGAAACTCAAGCGTTCTAGAATCCATTTCCGTCTTGAGAGGTGAACTGATGCCGCCGCTCTGAGCCGGGCGCTCTGAGCAGCGAGTGAGCAACTCTGAGCTTCAGTTGGCTCGGGCTAAACCCTCGCAGTCGCATTCTCAGCTCAGCAGAACTTCCAGCCTCCCACATTAGCCACCAGGAATGGGACAGCCACAATGCCAGGGTCCCTACACCATCAGGTGGAAATCCGCCGTGCTGTAGCCATGCCCAACCCAACCAGGTGTCTCCGATATCTATCTTTTGCAGGGTTGGTTGTCTGCTGCGCCTTGCGCAAGGTTCCTAGGTATCTAGGCTGTACTGCTGCCGTGACCAATTGTTTTCGGTTGGCATTTGCGCATCACATTCATACAATCGCGTGTCGGCATTTGCCCAAAGTTTCTATCCTACAACTACTTTACAGCTCCAAGAGGCGTTTTTTAACTTATACTGCTTCTCAGTGACCTCCTTTTCAGACATCCTCATTGGAGCCTCATTTAGATCGCTGAATGGATCCGTTATCTGCGATTAGCCTCGCGGGCAATGTCGTCCAATTTGTGACCTTCACCCTCGACCTAATATCTACGACGAAGGAAATATATCGCTCATCTAAGGGGTGCACTTCTGAAGCTCTAGCATTAGAAACGGTATATGGGCAACTCCGGGATTTCAGTATTGAGCTGGTGTTACCGTCCCAAGTAGATCCCGATATCCCACCTGAAATTGCGAAGCAGCACTCAATTATCAGTAGCCTGTCTCGATCTTGCAAATCGGATTGTGATACACTATTGGAGGTGATTGAAACCATCAATGTACAAGACGGTACTCGGGAGCGATGGAAG